CCCGCATCACCCCCGCGCCCCCGCGGCGCTGGCGAGGCGAGGAAGAAGCTGCTCGCGGGCAGCTGCCCGTGGCGATGCCTTTGAAAGCGTCCTGCTGCCATGCACATGTGGGAGCCCCCCAGGCTGCGTGCGCAACACATGGGCACGGGGATCAAGCTCAGACCTACTTGAAAGGGGGAGAATGGTCCGTGAAGTGATTTATAAACTTGTAAGGAAAAACACAAGCCTCAAGAAAAAAAAGAAAGATAGAAAGAAAAAAAGCCCTCCTCCCTCTGCACTCCTTTTATGTCAAAGTGCGCAGCACAACTCCTGGCTTTATCATCTGGTTCTTCTTAAAGTCCGGTTATGATCAGAAGCAGCGGCACATTTCCCCAGGGCCTCTGCAGCGGTTTTGGGTTACCTGCTGGTGTGGTAATATTCAAAAGCCTGAAAAACTCAGGGGAAAAAGAAGCCTCAGAAAGGGGAGCGGAGGTCTCACTTCGCTAGCCACAGTAATACAACCATGTCAGCTCTTAAATATCCCCATTTCTTGACATGGTGCTGGTGTCACCAGCTCAATAGCCAGCCAAGGCTTGCAGAAGGGAAATTGTCTCCCGGGTCACTCAGGGTCAGTTAGTCGCTGCTTTCCCCATTTGCGGGCTCGGGGCACCCACCCGAGCAAAGATCCAACCTTGCCACCCAGATCAGAGACCCCCCTGGACCAAGGGAGTCCCGGCCGGGCGCAGGGCCAGGCACAGACACACATGACGAGGGAACAACGTGATACGCACCTCCTCCACCACCATGGAGGGGGCAGTATTTTGCTTGCTTGCAACCCAAGGCAGAGACTGAGCCCTGGCAGGGCAAACCCTGCCTCCAGCCGGGTTGACCTCGTGGGACCCAGGGGCTGCAGTGAGGCTGCTCCGGCTTGCCACCCACAGGTGACTCCCTCTGCTCCCTGGAGTCCCCCCTGCACAGACCTGCCTGCGTGTCCTTAAGTCTGACTTGGCACAGCGGCCCCAAGCACTGCAGAGCACTGTGGTTGCTCTTTCGGTCTGGTTGCCTCCTAAACAGCTCTTCCCAAAGCAGGGTGATTTCAAAATTTCCCTCAGAGTCGGGCACAGAAAGTCCAACACGGTTCGCCAGGGAAATGCCGTAAGAAAGGGTGAGATTTTTCACAGTGTTGGGGGGACAGGACGCTCCAGGGTTTCCTGTCCTTCAGGCATTGACTCATTTGGGAATTTCCCACCTTTGCAAGAGCAGCTTCCCCATCAATGCGCGGAGGGAGGGACCCGCAGCCTGCTGGGGCCCCACCTTGCCCTGCAGCTGGGATGCTGCGGGAAGGGGTACCACAGCCTGGAGGGATGCTCCTGAAACAACCTCAGGAGGGGCATGGGCCAAGACGAGCCCACCCAGCCCCTGCCAAAATTGCAGTAGATGGGTACGTCTAAGGTGTGTCACATGCCAGGGAGGGAGATAGGGCAGCTCTTGGCATCAGCCCAGCCCCCACTGGTAGAGCTGAAGGGAACCAGGACCGACTCCCCTCTGGTCCCAGAGATGGAGCCAGCCTTTAATAGACAACACAGCAAGGCTGCGCTCTCCGCCCAGCTCTGCAACATCCTGGAGCTCGGGGCAAATCATCTGTCCATCTGTGCTGCTCTGCCTGCCAAGCAGGATAACAACCCTTCCTGCAGGCAGGGGGGCTGCAGGGCCCCTGAGGCTTCGCAGACAGAAGGCAGATGACAGGACGGTGTGTTCCTGGGACCTGCACTGGCAGAGGACGCCTGTCACCAGGACAGGCAGATGGCGGTCCAACCTCGGGTGAGCTAGTGCGAAGGGCTGGGTGAAAGGCTGGACTCACTGCCGAGCGGACGCAGTGGGAGTGCAAGGCTGGATGTGACCAGCAGACATCAGTCAGCCCATGCAAATGCCTTTGGAATTGAAAATTTGGGGCTTGAAAACCAGAAATCACCCAAACAGGGAGCAGGCACACTGCTGCCTGGCACCAGGATGTGCAGCACAGGATCCCAAATCCGAGGCCTGCCTCTGCTCCCACCCTTGCTCTGAGGTTGCAGAGTCCCGGCTTCCCAGTAGAACAGAGCAGAAAGGAAAAACAGGGAGCAGAGACAGAATAAAACATGCACCAACCTCATGGCCCGCAAAGCCAGTTTGTATGCCAGATCTGCATCATGGGGTAGCAGGGCGGAGAACAGGTATTTGGCAAAGGTGTGCATGGGGACGCTCTCACGGTGGATCACTTCTCCCAAGCCGCTGAAGGGACCACCTAGACAGAAGCAGAGCCAGTTAGCCATCGTCAGCACAGCAGGAACTCTCGCTGGGGTTTGCACCACCTCAAAGCTTTGGGGATCTGCTCAACAGCTCCCTGGTGCATTAGTGAGGTTGCATTCAGGGCAAGGCTGCTCATTTGTTTTGTAAAAACCATTTCAGGTCAAAATTCCTCCAAAGCTCAGGTCATGTGCTTAGCACCCTTCTCCATAACACCTTTGAGGCAGACTTGCTCCAGAGACGTCAGCAAACCCTTACTTTGTCAGATCATGGCACTGGGGCAGAGCAGCCGTCCTACAGTCTCAGCGCCATGTACACAGAGGAAGAAGCCAGCATTGGGTCAGAGAGCCATAAACACTGGAAAGAGCACCTCAGAGAGAATGCAACACCCAGCTGAGACACAGGATCCAGCTAGATGCATGCTAGTGGTCCAGAGACACAGAAGAGTACAAGCATCCCCCTCAACCCCCTTTTCTTTGCAAACAAGATACACGGGCAGTTGGGTATGGCCTCTTGGCTTGGGTCAGCGACTCCCAGAGATGCACCAACCCATGGCTGCCTGGCTGCCTCCAGGCTTTTAAGCCAAACAGACAACAGCACAACACGATGGGAGCAAAAGGCAACAGATGCGTAACCCAAAACATGAGAAACATACAGCTGAGTGGCATGACCAAAGGAGAAAGTATGTAAAAACCTTGATGCTCAAGGTGCTGGTGGTGGCACAGCGCCTTATGTAACGCTCTGCAGCGCAACGCAACGCAACATGCATCAGCCCCTCAAAGGCCTGGCCCTGTGCATGGCCGAGCTCCGCCAGCGTAGCCCCTTCCACCCAGCTGCCCCCAGCGCCAAGCCCCCACCTTCCAGCAGCAGGATGCACTGCTTTCGCAGGGTCTGCACCAGCACAGGGTCCAGCTCCAGGTCCTGCAGGCGGGCTATGATCTGCTCCTCATTGCGACACACCTTGTCCTGGGCATAGAGGCCCTCAGGCATCACTCTCTGCTGACCCATCCCCATCAGTGCCACCTCTAAGGCCAGGGACAGGTAGGACTCGGCACTGTCTTGGCTGCCGGTAGCCACGGGGACGTGTTGGTACACCGGGGGTTTGGAGTCCCCTGCATCTGGAAGAAGGGGGAGAGATGCTGCAGGGTTAGAGCAGCCTTCCTAGGTGGAAGATCCACAGCAGAGAGCAAAACCTCTGAAATTCAAAAGCAAGAACCATGCTTCCCTTGCTGCTTGCCAGGGATAAAGGGATATCCTGCCTGATGGATAAAAGTTCCTGGGTAAGGATTTGGGCCTTCACCCTCCTCCTTGCTCTTACCAGGAGACAAGGGAGACCTGAGCCAAGGGCGACTTGAGCCAAGTGTTGCAGGGCAAGAGTTAACCAGAGCCTTCTCGTGGGCTGGCATGACTTGGTCCAGCTCTGCTATGCAGCTACGCTGCTCTGCTCTGGCTGCAAAACCCTGGGCCCAGTCAAACCCAAGGCACCATCTCCCTCCCTCTGCATTGCAGCGTTGTCCTGGCTGCTCCTGCAAAGGGGAAGAGAGGGGAGATCTGGAGCCCAGGAGTCCCGAGTCCAAGAACTACACTCAGGACCTGCCTGCTGGGCAAATTTCAGCCGGAGCCACCTGGAAGAGAGTGAGGAAGAACCTCGATACCTGAAATTTCAAGGCAATTTTCCTCTTCTAATCTACAGGCTTCAGTCAGTGTGAGAAAGAGGCAGCCGATGGGGTTCAGAGGGTGGCCTACCCAGCCCTCCAAGTTGGTGATGGTTGTTGCCCCTCGCTGCAGCAGCTCTGCAGAAAAGAAACAAAACAAAATTAAAAGTGAGAAATTTAAAGACAGTTTCTCCACCCAGAAAAGTCTCTGAGACCAGAGGCTCTTCCTTATTCCAGCAGCTTAGGACAAGGGGACCTCCAGAGACCAGGGGCCAACGTTGGCAGATTAGTTGGAGGGGATAACAAGGAGTTCAGCTGCCACACAGGCTGCTGCAGACAAGAGAGAGCTGGCACCCAACAGAAAAGGTGTCCCTAAGCTGGCGGGAATCTGGTCGGGGGCCACAGAAGATGCAGTGGTTTGTTCTCAGTTCCAGGTGGACACAAGGGAACAGAAACGGTGAATGCATTCCAGAGCCCAAGACAGGGTCTGTAAATTAAGACCTGCACCTTACGGGCTCATTCGCAATGGTAGCCTGAGTATGTTTTGGAAACACAAGTAAAAATCTCTCTGGAGGGAACAAAGACCCTCAGGGAGCTTTAGAAGCTCCATCTTTTGATGACCTCCAGTTGGCTGAGCTAGGAAGGCCCCAAGGAGCTACCCCCCGTCGGCTGCACTGCAGTAGCTGACCCCAGCTCTCTGCCAACTGCAACGGCAAAATGAAAAATGCTGCTCTCATCTCCTGGTACTTTTTACTCTGCAACTGCAAAGTCGAGGCAGTGCACGCAGCCAGTTCCTGCAGCTCCACTGACAAGCAGCTTCTCTTCAATGCAGGCACCACCTGCAATCACCTGCACAACCCTTTCACACAAGCACACACAGCAACAGTGGGAACACAAGGAGCCCTTCTCAAGCAGCCCAGAGACACATGTGGGTGACAATGCAGTATGGCTCAATCACATGCATCAATGTGCCCTTCTAGGGTGCGAGTGGTCCCCTACAGCGCTGCCTACCATAAACCTCTGCTGCTCTCCAGCAGGGAGAGGACCTTCTCAAGTGACTGTGACACCACCAGCCAGACCCAGCAGGATCCTTCTGCGAGAGCCCTGGTCATACCTTTCTTCTGATGCTTATATATTTCCAGCTGCCTTTGCTGCTGCAGTCGCAGGGTGTTGATTATAGCAACAGTGAGTCGGAGAGCTTCCCTGGGATACCCGTGGGAGCGCAGGGCATCCACCCGAGCGCAGGCTGTCGGGACGTGCTCTGCAAGGCAAGGTCAAACATGGGCACGGCTGAGCCAGAAAAGCACTGAAGTCTCTGGGATGTTGCTGAGAGGGGAGAGAACCCCACAGCATCAGGTTTCTGGGCATTTTCTTCTGTTATCTTCCCCACTCCCCACCTAAACTCCTGCTTTAAACAACCTGTTTAAAGTCATTCGACTCTCACTGCTTGTGGCAGGGATGCTTGCCAGGAATACTAATGAGACTCCCATCACGTTCAACCTGTGGCAGCCGTTGCAGTACCTAAACTCTGACCTCCACAAACCTCATCTAGTCTACTGGAAGCATTTTCAGCATGCCACTGCTGTAATACCATGGCTCCAAACACAGGCTGTTACAACCCTGCCTCTCATCACTGCTAAAATCTGCCCATTTTACGATATCTTTCATTGGCGCTCACCCAAACACCTCTTCTCCGTCTCCTTCAACTCTCTGCTCTCATTACACAGGAGATACATGGGATGAGGCAGTGTGCCTTCTGCACTGTGCTGGGGGAACTGACAGATTTGGGATGACATTTTGAACTGCTTCCTTGATGCCTCCGTGGAGCGAGTTCTGCAGAAACAGTGTCTTTCTGCAGTTCTCCTATCTGGTGTTTTATTATTAGGAACAATTGCATGAAACCCCCCCCCAGACTCACAGTTGCTTAGAAATTCATCTGCTCCTGCTGCTTGCTGCTCACCTGAAATCACAAGCAACTGTGGAGAGGATTATGACTGACTGAAAAAATGAGCAGGAGCAGATGACACGACATGCCGCATAAGAAGTGGCAAAAATCCCATTTTCTTGCAAATGTCCTACCAAGGGGGTTTAAAAAAAAAAAAAAAAGATAAACACAGAAGATCTAAAGTTATGGGAAGGGATCATTTCTATTCTTGGAACAGATCAGAGAGCTTTGGAAATGTGGACAACCACCTCCACAAATGCGGTTTCCACATTCCAGAAGTCACCCACAGGGACAACACGAGAAAGGGGGTTAAGAACAAGCGTATCTACAGAAGAGCTTCTTGTTGGTTCCCTCTGTTTATTTGCTAGATGGATGAAATATTCAGCTTCTTGCTGAATTCATCATCAAAAGCCACTGACAAATCACACTCCTCTCCCTGCGCTGTGCCCCTGAAAGTGCACCAAAACGCGAAAGCGGAAAACCCAAAATCAAGGTGACTACATCAGAAAAAATAATGTCCTCTCCTGCTCCATCTACACTAGCAGATGATGTACCACCAGCCTTCACATGAGCCCTTTTCAACTCGTCTCCTGGCTTTAATGGCAAACTTAATGCCATCTGCTCCACAAACCAAGCATCTTGTTGGCCTTAAACTTTCTCTTCCCATTTGGCTGGTGACTGCAGACCCCGACTCCCTGAGCAGACTACAGAGCAACAGTGGGCTTTGACCTTCTTCATGTCTGTACAGTCACCTCCCCAGCTGCATGACACTGGGCTTGACTGCTCCCAGTATGCCCCAAGCTCATACTAGGCTTAATTATATCATCTGCTAATTACACTTCAGGGGAGACTAAAGGGTGGGTGAGAGCAAGGAAGAAAAGATCCAGAGGATACAGCTCTGCTCCCTGCCAGCTCTCTAGGGACTCTAAGTGCCCAGTCCCTTGGTAGGGGGAACATTGGGATATCAGCACTAGGGACAGCCAAACACAGGCAGGGCAAAAGAGGATACTACGAGCCCGGTTCAAGCTGCCCAAGGGAAACCCGGCTTGCGTGGACCTCCCGGCCACTGCTGTGTATGTGGGACTTACTATGGGCATTGTGGCTAGGCTGCAGGTGTGCACCTGCACGTTGAGTCTTGCTGCTCGTCCTATTCCTAAGGCTAAGGGCAGGGAGGTGCTTTCAATCTAGGATGCAGAAGCTTGCAAATAGGAACACCACTGGGTTTCTCCACGGGCAGGAAGGACTTCGGGCAGCAGAGCTCCGATGCCTGGGGCAGCTCATCTCTGCTAGCAACTCTATCCACCCAGGCTGCTCAAGGGCCGCTGTTTTGGACGCTCACCTAGCCACAGTGGCTGCCCTTGGGAGTTGAAGAGGAGGCTCTCACCCTCGCGCTGGTAAGAGGGAGACACATAGAAGTCACTGCTAATGATGCGCTGCAAGTGGCTGTCCTGCCAGTGGAAGTCCCAGCCCTCGATCGCACGGGTGAAGACGGTTCGTCTGGGCCTGGCCAGGGAGTCTGCAAAAAGAAATACCGTCAGTGCCTCTGGGGCAGCGGTGGGACCCTCCCGCAGCCCAGCAGTAGGAACAGCTCCTGCATGGCACCGTCTGCAGCCTTCATGTTCATCTCCAGGATACTCAAGGTGATGGTGAGGGACATAAGCTGGGAACAGCTCAGCTAGTACTGCTCCAGGCTTGGAGCACAGGAACAGCTGAGATGTGGTGAGTCCTTCCCTCAAGGAGCTTGGAAGCAAGTACAGATCCAGTGCCGGACCTATTCGACTCCTGCTGATAGCTTTCTGATGCTAATCTGCTGTTACATATGAGGCTAATGCCTCAAAAATCAACAGTGCAGCCCTCCAGGTGGAAAGCACAGGGTGCAGGCAGCTGCCGTGGACCAGCACCGGGCTGGCAAAGGGACCTGTGCTGGCATGTCCCGCCTACCTCTGGGCGGTCGGGAACCACCGCCTCCCCAGCAAACACTGCAGGGCAGGCAAGAGAACCAGCAAGGGAGGAGACAGCACCATCCTAAACCCCGCAGCTCTGCGGCAATCGTCTGCTTGTGCCCATGTCTAGAGTCAGGTTGTTCTGTAACTAAAACAACATTTTTCAAAGCTAGCGAGTGCTGCTCTGCTATTTTGCAACCCAAAATAACATGGTTTGCTGTGTATTAATGGAAGAATAAAAAGGAACAGCCTGCTTCCTACGCTCACGTTTATCCATGTAGTCCTTCCACCTTGGAAGACAGAGGTGTCTGCTCACACAACCAGGCTGATACTACTGGCAAATCCAGCTGCTGCTTATTTCGGTCACTACCTGCTCTCCAATGAATCAGGTAACTGTCTGGTCTGGCTCCTCTAGGCTGAGACTTCTCTCGGGTCATCGTTTTTCTTGGACAGGGCTGTTGGGCAGCAAGACAAGGTAACTGTCTGCTTGCTTCCTATCCAGGAAGGACAGGGCAGAACGAGAATTTCACTGCGACTGGACAAGTCGGACAGGTGGTTTGTGGGGAGGAAGGGGCCCGGCTGTAGCTCCCCCGCTACCGTCCCAGCCCCGCTGGACCACCATAGCAAAAAAAGGCTGCAAAACAGGAAGCCCCAAACACGGCGCAGTGCTCAACGTTAGGTCCTGCAATCTGCGAGATGGCCGAGTTAAACGAATTCAAGAGGGGAAAACAAAAGGCTCTGCTCAAAGCTCAACCAGGGAGGCTGGATAAACACGCTCTGGAAACGATGGCAACAAGCAATTAGCCTGAATGCTGCAGGCACCCTGAGGTGGATAGAAATTAAACAGGTGCTCCTCTGTACAGAGCCAATCCTTCTCGAGCCAGCAGGTTTACTTTAACAGGAAGGATTTCAGGAAACAGCCATTATCTTTCAGGAATAAAAGAGGCTGGCAACAATTTGCAGCAGTATTTGCATATTCACAAACATCAACCCGGGGACACCTCCAGGATCAGCTTCGCTCTCAGTCTCTGGCTTGGATGGGCAGGAGCGGCAGGACGCTCTCGGCACAGGCTGAGCGGCAGCGAGGCGCTTTGGAAAGTCTCTGCGCGTCTAAAAACGTGACCTGCTTAGCCCCAGTGACCTGCCCCGAATGCAGGAGGGAATCCTTTGCAGAGCTGGGAGCGCCGGGGGGGGAGTCCTGAGCCCGCGCTGGGCCCCGCAGGAGATGGAGCAAGGCCAGGTTGAAATTAAGCCGGTCCCTGACGACACGCACGTGAGACGGGCAGGCAGGGCGAGCGCGCAGGGCATATGGTCCTGGGCTTAGCTGGAAGGGGCTGGCAGGCCGGCCCCTCTCCCGAGCTGCTGCTGGGGGAGCGCAGCGGCCGCGGGGGAGGCCCGAGAGCACTAATTACACCCAGAAGAGTGAAGTTTCCTTCGCAGCATGGCTGACTTCCCCCCTCTCTTCTTCCCACTTTGGCTGCACGTAATACACCAAAGACCAATTATAGTGGAGCAGATGGAGGCACTGTAAGAGCAGTAAGTTTCAATTAATGTCTATTTCAGGCAAAAGGAAGGGGAAAAAGTGCTTAAATATAAAGGGATCAAATGCTTTGTCAGGGGGTCGAGAAAATATTTTAGCACTAATGAACAACCCCACAACTAAGTTGCTTCGTTTGTGCTCTGCACTTGAACTGCTTTTAACAGCCCTGGCTAATGACTTATCTACTGAACTGCACCAGCTACGATTTGAATAAAAGAACAGTAAGCCAAGCTCGACGGCTAGGAAAGGGCTCTGCACCGCCTCCGAGGCCTCACTTCCCTGTCACAGCAAGGGTTGCAGAGCTCAGCTCCGCACCGACTCAGGCAGCATTGGCTATCTGTACAGCTTTTGCATACCTGTTCATACAGGTCTAAACCTCCTTGAGGTCCTGAGTCATTCAAAGGGCCTTTAAAAGTGATTTCACACTCAAAATACCAGGAAACTCACCCAAGGTACAGCACAGAACCAAATGTTTTCAAAGCGTCTCTGAAATCAGAGTCCGTGAAGTGTTTGGCATCGCTCCGTCTCCCAGAGATATCATCCACGGGATGACAAGAAAAATAAGGGAAACCAATTTGTCCAGTCTGGACGTCCTTGGGGAGAGCAGCACCCAGAACCACGCGTGCTTTCTGCGCTTTTGGCCCAAGCTCTGCGTCCTGCTCTGCACCCGCAGGGGAACAGGATGACCCGACTGATGCCTCCTGATGCATCCTCACAGCTTTGCACTGTGCAGGGGTCTCTTTTCCCTGCAAATTGTTTTGGGGGGCATTTTTTTAAAAGCGTTCAGCATTGGTCTAATTCGGCTTCTTATGAAGCCCCGGGTAAACTTCCCGTTGACGTCAGAAGGAGCAGCTCGGAGCCAGTGCTCGGCAAAAAAAACTGCCAGGACTCCGCAGCGCCCGTTTTTGTCTACGTGACCGAAGCGCTGAGCACGAGCTGCCCTTCTGGTTGCTGCACAGTACTTTGGATACGCGTGAAATAAGCTTTACACAGAGCAGCCCAGAAGCCCATGAAAAGCAAACTTCTGAGAACACAACCTGAATCCCATCGAGCCAAAGAATTTTGTGATCTAGGGAAACGAATTTTTTTTGTGGCAAAACATCGTATCTGGACCGCCTTCCGCCGAAGCAGCGTTTTTACCTCGCTGGGGCCAGGGCAGACCAGTTAAAAGAAACAGATCTGGCCTGTACGAGCTAGCGACAGACACGTCGTGCTCCGAGCTCCTGAGGCAAGTTTCAATCCGGATCCAAACTCTGCGGCCGTGGGCTGGATTTCCATTCGCCCCAGCCTGGACTCACCTTGGCTGTGACTGGAGCTCTGCGTAAGTGCGTTGGTGATGTTGGGAAGCTCGTTGCCGTAATTGCCATCTTCCAAGGGACACACGTCCATCTCGCCCCATTTCCGCAGCTGCCGCAGCCAGCAGGATTTCTCTTCCAGCTTGCAGTGCGGGTTTAACACGACGCACACCCACAGCGCCCCTAAACAAAGCGAAGAAGTAAAGAACATGCCAAGCCGAACCCGTGTGGCAAAGCTCTCCTGCACCGCCTGGCCCCTGCAACGCTGCTGCCATGCTCCTCATGAAAGCCAGGAACATTTTAATAGAGTCCATAAATTCATCTCAGCATAACGCACAGACCCAGGAGGGGGATTTAGACAGCTTTCAAATAAAAGTAAAACTCCTCTGTAATGAAGCTAAATTATAATCTCATGAGAGGGGGGACAGTGGGGAGGAGGGAGGAAGAGATCGGCTGTGTATGAATTTGTGAGTGCTGTCTGCCAGGACAAATCTAGTGTTTGAACTACACATCAAAGCATGCTTAAAAAACACCCTGGCAAGCTGCAGAGTCTGTATCTCCAAAGCCTAACCTGATTTTGATCCTACCCACGTTCCAAGCGGTTTAAAGCCCGCTCAGAATGCTATTTCATCCGCCATTGTTCTTCAGGCCATTTGCATTCAACTATTTAAAAAGGAGATTTGGTGTATTTTCTTCGTTCCTTCCCCCCCTCCCCACCCTTTTTTAATCCCCAGTAGCCCCCAGACTGCAGCAGAGGAACCTGGAGTTTGATGTCTGGTAGGCGAGAGTCTTCCAAGGTGCGAGGCTCCTGCAAGCGGAGTGCGCGTCAGCAGGACGTGCACCCGGACAACCCCTGGGCTGATCACGGGACCTCACGCGCCCAGCAATGCTGTCCACCGTATGAGAGGCAAAATCATCATTAAGAGCCAACTAATTCTTTCATCAGAAAGGGCTGACACTGGTGCTGCTAACCAAGCCTAGGTCACTCTCCTGGGTGACCCACTGCTCTGAGCAGAGCTGCAGCAGCTCAAATAAGTGCAAACCCACAAATCCTACTTCAGCTAACTGCATTTTTGCTCAAATTTCCCTGCAAGGCTGCCTGGATACAATATTTCCCCTCCCTCAGGTCCATGCCGCACAGTGGGACGGCAGCGCGCTGGCCCAACAGCTGCACTTGCCCACAGAGGCCGCGTCCCTGAGGATCGCCCCAGGCCGAGCAGCCGGCGTGCTGCTCCGTGCTCTGCCCCTCGCCGGCCTGTCAGATACCGTCACGTGTCCAAGGGCAGCTCAGCAGTACCACCGTCCCCTGCCTCACCTCCACGGGACCACTGCAGCCACGCCACCCACAGCTCCATCCAAACCTCCAGCATCTTGCCTGAATCCTCCCCTCCAGCTGTTATTAATAAAAGCTTGCCTGCGGTGGAGGGATCTCTGCTAGGATGAGGAAGGGAATGCCTCTCCTCTCCACTCCTAACCAACTGCTCTCCTCCAGCTCCTCAGCACATCCCAAAAGCAACAGTCGGCAGCAGGACACACATCACAGAGCATTGCTCTGCTGTGCAGCGAGGGGGTTCCTCCGCACACCCAAAACATTTCCGATTTCCTGGCCAAACTGAGCTCTCTGCAAAGCCCATGCACCAAACGCTTCTAACATGGATCACGCCATCGCGTAGGAGGCGGCGGCGGCGGCTCCGGGCTCTCCTGCTTTGGGATTGCTGTGTTTGTAGCCACTGAGATAGATGCGGCGCCTCAGCCAGGCTCCCGCAGCACAGCAGGACAAGCTTCTCTGCAGCTCCGCAGAGCCGCGTCAGCCTGAACAGAGCCCGCACGAGGGCAGGCTCTTGGCACCAGCGCTCTCCAGGCTGCTGCACCAAACTGGCTGCTTAGTGCGTTTCTGGCAGCAGCTCCCTACAGCTACCATCTTTTCTACCTGAGAGCAGGAACAAGCAGCCCGCAGTCAGCGGTCAGCCTGCCGGATGTGTGGCCGAACAGCCTCATCTTGCTGCGCTGGCCTGTGCTGGGCTGCGTCTCTGGCAGTCAGAGCAGCCAGGTCCCTTTCCAGGCGGTGAGGGAGCGCAAGGCAAAGGCAGGCACAGCGGAGACTCCCTGGCACACCGGCTGCGCTCCAGCTTCTCCCTCTCCTCTGGGTTACAGGACACAGCTGAGCTGCGGCTGGGGCTTTTGGGGCGAGGGCTGAACCGAGCGCATCTTGGAGACCTCCACGAGGCGACAGCATCTCCCAGGGCTCTGTCCCCTGTGGCCAAGCCGCGGCACGTAAAAGCAGGGAAGGGGCTGACAGTAACTGCAGCCTCGTGTTTTAAGCTGTGTATTGGGCTCAAGTGCCAGAGTTGAAGGTTGATGGTGAACAAGGCATTAACCCTGGGCTAATATCATCACCCTAGGCTGCAAGAGGAACAGGTGAGACACAGGAAAAGCAAGTCCTGGCAACTCCCGTCCGCTTCCTTCCCATCACTCTCGGGCCCTGAAACTGCCAGGAACTCACTTGCGTTCTCATCGTCTTTGCATTTCACCTTGCGAATGCAGCTGAGAGGAGGGTAGCCTCCAAGCACAACACTGGCCACAGCTGCCTTCCTGGGGCTGCTGCCAAACTGCCCAAGTTCCCATTCCCATGTTAGAGGACTGGGTGGAAACCTCTCACTGACAGCAACGCGTGGTTTGAGCCTCACCATCCTCTCCCAATTCACAGAGTGCAGCTTTCACCCTGCCTGGACACTTGCGTGGTTGTTTCAGTCATTAACACAGCACAAAATGCACAAGGGCAGCGCATGCTTTAACTGTGCTGAACGGCTTTGCTCAGCGGGAGAGCCGTTAGGGCATCACAACGCAGATGGTGGCAGCAGTATTGCATCCAGGAAAGGGCACAGGAAAAGCAATTGCAGCTACTGGAGATCAGCAAACATGCAGAACAGCCCTTGTTCGGTCCACCTCCACCCACGCCTCAGCACCACCGTTCCCGCGTGCCAGGAAACCCTGGTGAAATTCCACTTTGGTCTGATGAACGGGACGAATTAAGCCTTCTGATCTGCACTATCAGAGATTATCCCACACGCAAGAGGAGCTGTCTCCTTTAGGGCTCTTGGGGCCCCTCTGGCTACACTCAGAGGCAATATTTCCAGACAGATACTTTAAATGCTTCCAAGGCCAGCACGGTTTCCAAACAGCATTCAATAGCCCTTTGAAAAGTTCACCCTGAAGTCAGTCAATTAGCGCGGGACAGGGGGGCAGCAGCCCTCCTTAAAGGGCAGGACTCAGAGGAGGTCCCGTCCCTCCCGTGCCGTTATCTCCCCTCTGCAAACGGACGTGCTTTAGAGGGGCTGGAATGTGAAGCCAGGCATTTCTCTGTGGCGGAAAACTAAATACTTCATACGCTCTGCTAAGTGGCTTAGCAGCAATAACCGGACAGGAACTTAAAGTACAGTAGCATGACAGTCAAGCCTCAGCCACCGCTTAATCACTGAAATGCCCAGGACTGGAAAGAAACAGAAAGGCATTATTCTGCCCGGAGCCAGCGATGGCAGCAAGCAGAGAGCAGGACAACGGCCCCGTTTGTGCCGTGCTGAGTCTGGAGACAACCAGGGGTGCTGAACATCCCCCAGATCCCCCCAGCTGCAGGGAAGCTTGCATGGACACAGGAACACTGAAAAATCAGGCCTCAGCCCTGGAAATCAAGTCTTCCTTAACTCCCTGATTCAGGGCCCAGTTTGGGCAGCCGGGAGTTACCGCCCATCAACCGAGCGGTGAGTGCGTGCTCGCTGCTCGCCCCAGCTGGGAGTAAAACACATCACCTCCTTGGGCTGGCATACGCTAAGTCCCAGGTTTGGCTCCTCGTGCTATGCAGCTCCAAGGCTCTGACTGGTTTCGGACACCCAGTTCCCACCGCCGCTACCATCAGCGGTCACTGCCCTCCGTCCAGTCTGCGGTTTCTGCAGTAAAGAGCAGCTTCTGGCAAGTTTGGCTCCCACCTCAGACCGCACAGGAGCGAGGGACAATGGGCACAGTCCACCTTCCTCTGCTTCTGCTGCAGGCTCAAGCCTTAAATCACCACGACAGATTCCTCAGGGCTCGTTTTTCAGAGCGGAGAGGCTGCAGACACACGAGGAGCAGCTCAGCTGACAGGGGGTGACGAGACTCGGCACTCCAGCTCTGCTGCTTCCAGGAACGTGATGCGCCCGCCAGAGTTTTGGCTCCTGCGGCCCCACTACGATGCGATCCTAGGGATCCTCATGACTTGGCAGCCTATTTTTGGGAACCCTCCGAGGCATCCTTCGACCACTCCCCTGGGCTCTCCTGTACAAGGGAGGACGTGCTGGGAACAAGGGGAGAGGGGCTCACATCTGTCTTGGTGGGGAACTGCCACAATAGTTATCTGGGAAACAGAAATGACAGGTTTTTCTGAGCCCTTTGGTTAAGTGACATCAGCAGACAGTACCACGGACCCTGTCCGTGGGCCGATGCGCTGAGCTGGGTCAGACTTCGCGTCTGCTCATATGCTGCAGAAACCTTCATCTGAACTTTCCGACAGCAGAAGGTTAAGTGGGGAACACAACAGCAGATCATGATTAAGCTAAGCCTCCAAACAAAACTGCTTTTTGATTATGGGGCTAGGCGGAGGGAGAGGGGTCACCAGAGCCTCCCAACCCCAGTGTCCCCGGCTGCGGGCCCCAGAGAGGACAGGCGCTCTGATTCTGCACTGAGGTTTCCAAACCATCAAAGAAATGCTCTCCTTTCCCACAGGGTCGCTTCCCCAGCTTAATCTGTTGAAATTCCCCACTGTAAACAAGTGGCCGAGATAAATAAACCCGTCTCCAGGCAGATTAAGGTCAGGCTGCACTTCAGCTGGTTTTTCGTCTATTTTTCGTAATTAGGCTTTAATCGTAAGTACTAATGCACCAGGGCAAATACTCCCACGCCACCCAGCTCTCTTCCCAACAGGTCTTTCCATTGGCTCCCCAGCAGACGAGGCAATAGATGTTCAGTTTGCAGCACATGCACAAGCAAACGATGTCCTCCTGCCACTCTTTTTTTTTTTTTTTTTTTTTTCTTAAAACTATAAAATCCTGCAAAATCCTTTACATTTTACCCAGTATAAATCCACAATCTTCTTTGAGGCTGAGCTTCTTGCAATCCCACACAAGTCTGCAATGTGGTCTTTGTTAAAAATCAATGATTAATTATTAAACATGTGCCCAAAATAATTTCATCAGGGCCCACTTTCTCTTTCTACTTGCAGTGCCAGGCAGAGGAACACAGCCTGCACTGGGGCTCCTCGCGGCAGCTGGCATAGGGCCTCTCTTCTCCCTCCCACCCTCTCCCTTTGGCAGCGCTGCAGCAGTGCTAATGCCGGGCAGCTTTGGCATCTGCAACCTACAAGCTTTTTGACAACGTGTCTTCACTGCCCCACGTACGCCAGCTACCGTTATCCACCCAACGACATTTTTGGATAAGCTGTCACCTGCGTGACTTGCTGCCACAAGGACTTTACAATGCCATACCCGAAAACGGGCATCCTTTTGCTTGTTTAATTGGTTGCCTTCCCAACTGTGCTGAACACCCCTTGGCCCTGGCAGCAGGAGTGGGACTGTCAGCAGACCTGACCTTGAAGCCCTGACCTGTGATGTGCACACCACTGCCACGAAGGGTTCTCCATGCTGTCTGCCATTCTCCACGCTGCTAATATTCATTACCAGTGAACGTTACCAATTCATTGCCATTCCCAACACATCCGTGTTTCCACCCTTCCTTTCAGTGGGATGCTCTGTTCCTAGAGCTAATGCTGCCCAAGGCCAAATACACCAGGAACTTCTGTAAGAGCGGGGGAATATTCTCCACTCTGAAAACCACCCTGTCCATGCACATCCCGCCTTGGGGACACTGCTTGGACCATCACTATAGTCGCTGCGGGGGCTTCTCTTCTGCACGACAGTGCCCAGATCTCTCCTGAGCGACGTGCCTATGCCAGGCGAGTCGTTCTCTCTGACGTGTATTGGCTGGCACCACATTTCACCTGCTGTCATACTGATCCCATCTCATTAGGGCCTGACGTTCCCCAGCCGCCTTGCCAACTGCTGATGAGGATGTGCTGTCGCTTCCCTCTGCCTTTGCTGAGCAAAACTAAATGCACCAAACAGGTTCTTGCCTGGTTAGGCCAGGACTGAAGACTGATCACTTACCCCTGATGTATATTGGCAGGGAGGGAGGGTCTTGGCTTGGATATCTGGTTTGAATTCAGGCCGACTAACTTGTAATTCTGGGTAAACTGCTTCCTGCCTCCAGGCCTGCCCAGACCTCCATATATCCATATTTCACAGATGTGTTTTCTTTCTTCCGTGTGAAAATTCTGGCTTGGTGGATTTGGCCACCTCTCTGGGATTCTTGTGCATCCAGCCATCTAGCTGCAGCATCTTGAAATCCTGAAAATATCTTTTTGGCAAGCAAGCACAGATCAGCTCTCCAGAGACTGCCTGCTCATTTCCATCTAGGGAACCTCACACAGAAGCAAGGCATCCTGGCCCTGCCCAGCCCTTTCTCTGTGGTGTTTGGTCAGCTTCTCAAATCTCATGGCTGTGTTTGCATTTGTTCGGCAGTTAGTACAAGGGCCTGCGGTCTCAGCTGTAGTTTCTACCTCTTACTGTAAGCTGTAGTTTCTACCTCTTACTGTAACACCATAGTGAGAAGGCTCCACGGGAGAGCTTCTCCCGCCGCAACCCACTGCACTGTAGAGAGCGGGTCAAGGACATTTTGAAAGCCAAAGCAAACTGACGGCTGATTGTCAGTTATCAAGTACTCTGCAGACAAGACCGCTTATGGCAGTGTGATTTTATAGCGGGGATTCTCAAGCTACGTCATAACCCAATTGTTCCAGCCATGCATGGTGCTACCACTCTGGACGGTGATGGCATGTGAATCAATGAATTCCAGGAATTCCTGCCATAAGCACTGCTCCAGTGGCTCAGACCAAAGCTCCTTCTACCTGGTATCCCACTTCCCACAGCAGGCAGGGACAGATACTCAAGGAAACGGTAAGAGCAGGACAAGTATGGAGAGATACTTCACCAGGAAGCCCATTCACCCTCCCATAGCCTTTGGTTGGAGGATTTCTTGAAAGAGAAGTTGTACTTGTGTTTAGCAGCCCTTTTTCCCCATTTTCCTAAGGGAAATCCCTTATAGCAATCTCCTCCACACCAAAGGGCACGCACCCACGTAGGTCCTCCTCGTGCAGACAGGGCTTCACCCCCTGGACCAGCCTCATCCTTCTTCTAGCTTTGCAACGTGCCTTTGGCCCCAGCCCATAAGCCCCTGCCCTTGCGTAGCACCTCCCACCAGCAAGCTCGCTCACTCACTCGCTGTGAAATTATGGCACAAGCCAAATTACTCATCCCAGATAACCAGGACAGCCCAGGACTGCTGCGTCAACTCCACAGCCAACCCCTTCTGGCCCATGTCATCTTAAACGTTTTTTTTCTAATGATATTACAGTGTCGGCCAGCTGAGCCAGCACCTAAGATGCCTAACCAGAAATAACCAGAATTACCCAGAACTGCATTTGAAGTGTATTTTTTTTTCCTAAAGTCAGGCTCTGCACCGGCCATCCTTCCCCACTCACCCTGGGAACGTGCACTGGAGCAGGCAGAAGTCAGTTAGGCAGGACAGAGCTTAAGAATCTGCCTCTCCCCTTTGGGATCACCATTCCTCTGGGAATGGCACTTCCATGTCCAGCCTACATCCAGCCCCCTGTGCCCTGGAAAAGGCTTTTGGCCAGGACACCAAACACAAGCTCTGGCCAGCCAGAAGGCTCAGCCAAGCAGTGTAGGACATTCAGTCCTTTTCTGGCTCTCTGCAACTTACCCAGCTCGTCCCAGAGCTGCCGGCACTTCTCCGTTATGCCCGTCCCCTGCTGCCTCCAGAGGGAGAGCCGAGGATCGGCCATGAACTGCTCTGTTATCAACGTCAGCATCCTGGCCCCGTTGGAGTCCCTCATGCGCAGCATCTCCCGGACCTGGAAGGGGCAGAGAGAAGGTCCTTTGTGAGACAAACCAGGGTGCCCTGGAGGGAGGCTGTGACCTGGCTCTAGTCAGCGTCCGGTAACAGCTACATCCTATGCTTTAAAGGGGACCAAGTGATCAAGAACCTGAAAACAAGGCCCTTGTGCAAAGCAAGAGAGGAGCCCATAGGCCACCACTCTGTGGTCTGGGCCAGCTCTGCAGATGGCAGGACCAAACTCCTCCCCACCATGCCAACAGGGATATGGGGGAAAAGCCCTCCTTCATGCAGGAATCACTGCCACCCTGTTATGCGGGAGGAAAGGACCTGCGCAGAGAGAGGCCGAGACAACCCCGGCCTGACCCAGAGGCTGGATTACAACAGCACGCCCAGCAACCAGGCGAGAAGGCACTGGAGCACAGATTCCCAGCTGCAACAGGCACGGTGCCAGGGCAGCGAGCGAGCTGCCGGCTACATGATGCGCCAAGCAGAGGGCAGCAGAAAAAGAGCAGCCTGCTCCTCCTCACCTTGGCAAACATAGAGTTGAGCTGCTTCCCGGAGCCGTAGTACCCTCCCTGAGATAGGAACAGCTTCACCTGCTCTCGGACCTGCTCTTCATCCAGGTGCCAGCAGTTCTCATCGTCAATGCTGGCCCCAGCGGTGGGATCAGGAGCACCTGGGGGAATGGGGAGGGAGGAAAAAGAGACAACCGAGTTTATAGCACTGGGGCCAGTAATCCCAGACAGCAAGAAGAAATGGACCCACCTCTGCTGAGTGTTTATCAGCTCAGGTGAGGGAATTCCCAGGCATCCAGCTCTAGCCACCAGGGTCATAGTCTCCTTCCACGGCAGCTGCAGTAGCCACAGCCATTAGAGTTAATGAGTTAATGCCTACAGCCCTGCTCCTTCATCCCACTGAGTCCAGGGGTGACACCAACAAGGGCTATGTCTGCCCAGATTTCACCACCAGCCCAGGGTTGGCCAGGAAAACCACATTTGACGATAGGGAGGAACACAATGAAAGCCTCATCACCTCTCCCTCCGTACCCCATGGGAAGTAAGCCTGAGAAAGAGCATGGTCCTCCCTTCCTTCAAAACCCCCAGGGCGCGGGCAAGGCAGCTGCAGAGACCTGCGCTCTCTGGCTCCTGGATCACACAGGGTTCTCCTCCTCCATCTCCACATCATGGTTTTATTTAAGCGTTAATAAAGCTCTAATTACTGCAAAATTCCTCATGTTGGGAAGTAGTTTAATAGAGGTACCACTGGACAGGGGTTCAGACCCATTCAAACTCCCAGTACTGCCTCAGCTTTGCGTTAGGACTAGGGACAAATCTCTGTGCATCAGTGTATCTGCCCAGAAGGGACCCTCCTTTGGAGAGCACTAGAGGTCAATAATGCAAACTGTGACCGGACCCAGGGACTTTGGCAGGCCACTCGCATGTGTTCACCAGGTGTACTTCATCTTAAAGAGAAAAAAAAAAAAATCCCACAAACATCTTAGACAAACAATGCCACGGATCCACCACCCCCTGCCTTGCCTCTTTCAATTCTTGTTTTTTCTCCGAGGACTGTTTGACCGCTCAGCAACAGCCCCAGTAATAAGCCAGGCAGGAGCAAGCCTCCACCGAGCAGCCAGCCCACCCAGCCAGTGCCTCCTGCACTGAAGAGCCCCAGCGCCAGAGGACTCCTGTTAAATCTAGAGAGGCTTTTAGCACTGTGGTGCTGCTGTCAGTTTGCGGTAACCAAAAAAAAAAAAAACACACTCCAACCCCAAACTTTTTTGTGAAAACCCTTCCAATTTTTCAAAGGCAGGTTTGTGAAAGGTGCTGCTGGATGCTGTGACTTTGCGAAGAACTATCGGCGTCTCTGAGCCCTGGTGCTCGACATCGCGTAACAGAAAGGCAGCGTTTCAGCTCTGCGAAGCAGAAGGGCTCTGCAGAAATTCCTTGGTGAAGAGTGGTGACGAGGAGGGAGCGGGGCGGCTGGAGCGCGCGCCGCTCGACTCGAACCTACTGCTCTCCTCACCTCTCCTCTCAAGCAAGGCAGTCAGCGCGGGAACAGTGAGGCACCGCATGGACAACTACGGGAAAGCTGTAGCTGAGATGTTTCCAATTAAATCTTAATGCCGTCTTCCCTGCTCGACTGGTATCCGAGCGGGGAGTCGACATCTCTGCTTTCACAACTGCCCGCTCCCAAAATGCTGCTCCTTTGCCCTGCCACGGCTTTGGGGGGCCTGAAGAGCCCAGCCCCAGTGCTCAGAGGTGCCCAGCACCTCCCAGGAGATGCAGAGCCAAGGACCCAAACCTGCTTCATAAAAAGCAAATTGCAGGATGTCTGCTCTGCAGGGCGGCTGCCTCTTCTTGGCTTATAAACGAGAGGACACCAACCCGGGGGGTTTTGCTCCGCCGGCAGAGGCTGAGACCTCTCCTGACCTGATAAGATACAGCTATTTGTATTTAATGTCCTTTATAAAATTCCTTTAATTTCTGCTAACAGTCACTGCCCCAGAGCCTTTCCAGCAAGCCCTAGGCACAGCCTGTGCCACACTGAAGGGGGAGGACGATGGTGCTCCCGCTGCAGAATAATTTATAGTCGACAGCACAGTGTAATTGGGACAGGATCTAAAGCAACGGACAGGAAAATCACAGCCACTGGATGCACACATGGGCTCTTGCCTGGAGCCCTGCATTGTGAAGGAGGGAACCAGCAACGCATGTGACCGGGTCCCGCTCCCCCTCTGCCGGTGGCCCAGCCCTGCCGTAAGACACGAGAGCTCCCCCCCCCCCTCTGCGGGGGCCCACGCCCTGCCGTAAGCCACGAGAGCTCGCTGGCGCAATGGGGACAGTTCATCCTGTCCGCAGCACGTTTCAGCTTTTCCATGCCTTTTCCTCCCCCCCCCCCCGCCCATCCTTATCTCCACTCCCCCTCGCAGATAAAGAGCAGACAAGCTAGCGATTATCCCGTATCAGGAACCAGTGACTAATCTGTCTACCATGAGCATTTATCCGGCCCCCATCGCTGAAGTACCGGAGACACTCGCGCTCTTCTCATATCCTCCTCCCGCCACCTTGCCTGCCTCTCCCAGCTCTAGGTATTTGGCCATCATGCTGGCTACTTCTGTAGGGTCTTCTCATGGCACCCACAGGGACGAGGAGGACAAGGAGCACTGGGGAGCTCAATCCATCCCCGGTCCCTCACCAGGGCCGTGTATTTGCTGCGGCAAGTCAAAACTAAGGAATCTGCAAGCCGTAAAAAAGGGGCATCATTTTTGTAGACTCTCCAGGGCTACACTCAACGCTAGCTGCTCACAAGCAGCGTCAGCAACAGCAAGCACAAACAGCGAGGCAAGGAGCGCGTAGCTAAATAAAACTCTCTTCCCACGCAACACACTGAGCACGTTTCACGTTTGGGTTCTGACCACAGCCAAATTAGTAACGCGAATCCCACAACTCCACATACAATCTAAATGCGCTTGTAAATTTGTTTTGCTCTCGTATAAAAGATTCATAGGGAGGGCTGTAATATCAGATTCCTACACATGCAACACAAGCAGGCAGATAATGGGCTACCCAATTACTCTGGGGAGCTGGATCAACATTTAAGAGCAAACAACGGGATTTGCGCAGTGTTTAAACATTAATGGCAGGATTTGTCCACTTCCCATTGCCAATGTTAACACCGTGGCGACTTCGCCAGTGGCATGCTGTGACGTAGCTGATGAGTGATTCCATGTCTCTGCTCTAAATGAGCTGGGAACGGCATGTAAAACAGCCCCGAGCCTGCGTAACACGTTTCTCATATAGCAGCATTCCTGATCCAAACAGCCTGTTTCAGATGTGCTTCATCTTTGTGCTGCGGGATTCAGATTTAAGGAAACACCAAAACACATCTTGAGTGGAAAGAGTCTTTCACCAGCCCATTTACACTGGCTGTAGAAACAGATAAAAACACAATCAATCACTCAGAGCAGGAGCCCTCCCTTGCCCCAGGCTCCGCGCTTAACTATTCACCATCCACTAGAGGCTTCTCCAGAGGGGATACAAAGACTGACAAATAAGGACTGGAAACATCTATGAAATGAAAAACAAAGCAAACCCAGACACGGAAAACTTAGCACCTTGCTCAGAAATTAGCTGCCGGACACTAAGAAAACCAAGTCCTCTCTTGGAACAGAAAAAAGCAAGTCTCCATGGCCAAAGAGGCAGCAAGACCCTCTCCGCACACACCATGGGCACGAGGTGTCCCAACACCCCCCCCTCTGTTGCAGGCACAGAGCAGAAGAGCAAAACTTGGGTGAAAGCTCAAATACTTCCTGGCTGCCCTAGGGGAGCCTCACACGGATCTTCAGAGGTGGAGAAGTCCTCTGGCCAATGTGCTCTATAGCCAGACCTGCCACCAGCCATGGCAAGCAAAAATAAAGGGAAATTACCATTTTTAACCGGAGACTGGTGCTGACATACTGGGGGTAAAAGCAACACGTGCTGAAGCCGTCGTCGCCGCTGTTTGCCGGGGCCATTTCATGACTGCACGTGGCATTGCTGCAACCCTCCGGGCTGCATCTCCAGCGTTTGGAAAGAAAACAGAAGTGAACGAAAAGCCACCCAGCTCGGGGAGGGAGTCAGGAGGAGGATACAGCCAAATAAACAAACAACAGAAAACCTCATAGAGAAAATAACCAGACACCAGAAAGGAAATGAACTCTAACAAGAGATAAAAATAGCGGCAAAGCAAGGGAGGGAGGACTCAAGCTCCGCTGAGTCTCCCAAGCCTCCCGTTTCGTTTCCAAGTGGAGGCAGATCGGATGGAGCCTCCCGAAAGATCCGAAAACATCTGACGGTGATTGAGCAAGCAAAACCGGACCAGCTCCCAGCACAGGCACCTCCAAAAACCCACTGAAGAATGGGACGTGACAGCCCAGCCGCGTGTCGGCATGCAAACACCCAACGCCTGTTGCGGTACTTGGAGCAAAGCCCCAAACTCCTCTGTAGACTGGGGACAATGCTCCCCACTCACCACACAATGTCAAGATCAAAATCAATTCGTTCAGGCTTTTAACTCCCCCAACTTCATTTTTCTCCGTGCGCCACCTGTGAGTGCATAACACTGCCCTCCTCACCACGAGAACAGTAGCCAAATTCACTCAAGTCTACAAAACGCTTTCACAGGTCTCTTGGTGGGAGCTATGAAAAAGGGGTAAAAGTATGATGCTAACTATTGCCATGCATTGTTAAGAGACTCCTGGTGCTCTTGGCGCAGAATCCCAGCAAGAGCCCTGCAGAGCCCTTGTACAGGTGGGACCAACACTGAAGCATCCACCGCTTGAAGGCCCTTTGCTGGGAGCCACAACACACGCGCTCTAGAGGGTGTTCGGCAGCCCCAGAGGCTCTGCAAGACATGGGGGAACGGAGCCACTGCCAGAGACTTTCTCTTGAGCACTCAGGTGTATTGTTTTCCCTTAAATTCATATCAGCTCAGCAACTCACGATGCAAATCCTCTGGAGACCTGACCTTCTCCTCCTCCTCTGAGGAAAGGCTGAATTTCAAACAGATTTACCAGTGCCTTGTTCTGCCCTCCAGGCACTGTTAGGGGATGACCGAAGAGTTAAAGACCACCTGAGGACTTCTCAAACATTAACCATGCCTCAGTGTGACAGGACAAGTAGGCAGATATTCCTACCCAGCTGACCTAGCAACTGCCTCGCTGCATACAAGGTGAAGGACAGCAGTAGCCCAGCAACCAATAGGCTTAAGGTATACAAGAATACATTTGGGACAGAAGCAAGAAGATGAGGTTCCTTATGGCATTTGCATTAGTTGAACCTGATATTCCCATACCAACATCTGAGACAAACCCTCATCCTGCCCCTTCTCTGAGGCACCACTCCAAGATCCTTCTGAGGGTCTTCTCTTCCGAGGCAGCTCCAGAGACCTTCTTCGCAGGTCCACAGAGGCCACTTGGTGATTCAAGCTGACTCTGCAGGATTGTCCCGAGACTCAAGACAGCAGAGGTTTTGTGGCTTTTCTCCCTTTGGGCTCAAGAGTGTACAAAGCCTCTAGACAGGTCAGCTGAGCACCACAGACACTGCGTCATCGACTGGCATTTCCGTGGGGCAGAAAGACCTCCCTGACCACGTCTCCTGGGCTGAGGTCAACAGCTCTACTGGCCGAGCCTAAACACAATGCTAGAACAGGGTGAGCTACTGAGCCACAAACAAGAGCCACCAAAACCTCCTCCCGTCTCCCTGCTCCTCCCCGAAAGAAGCGGGGAGACTTCACCAAGATGACGGGCTCTGAGACATGAAGTGAGAAATGGGTCCAGGCAGAAATATTTTAGCCCTAGATCACCAGATGCAACACCGAGAGAAAAAAAAAGGTTTTTCACGACCCTTCTAAGAGCCTGCACTGTGTCGGAGTCACTGTGTTGGAAAATGCCACTTTTCATAGCTTCAGCATTTCCATGCAACTCCTGGTCCAAGACAGAGCCCTGCAGCAGCCCTTCAGGCTGGCAGGGCACCATACTGCAAAGCGCAGCCCCTCTGTAAACTGCTCTCCTCTCATTACACACTCCTATCTTCAAGCTTCTAATTGAAAATTTTAATGACCACCATCTCTGGCCTTGCTGTGGTCTCCGTCAGCCTCATCTCCTTCCTTGGCCACAGACTGTTTTTCCTCCTCACTAAGAAACAAATGTTTGCCTCCAAAGTCCAGACATCCTAACCAGGCTTAAAGGACGTGTTTGCCTGCAGAGAAACAGCAGCTTTCCTCTGTACCCCGCACACTGATTCGGTTTTCCCTCTTAAAATAAGTTCAAATCATTTGCTACAAGCGTGAACCAAAACATAAGAGGAGATGTGTGTTACTTCCTGAGTCTGTGGCTGCCTTGGGACCTCACACGCTCACCGTTGCAGGACACCGGGTCTGTGCTACCAGAGCCTGAAACCCCACGGTGCTGTCAGGACTCGTGGTGCTTTTCACCACCCTCTCCTCTGGTTTGCTTGCTTTTGCCTCTGAAAGCCATGTGTCTGTCTACAATCCAACTTCAGCACTTTTTCCCAGCCTTGCGTACCTCTCTGCGATATTTTACCACTCCAAACCAGGCCTTTCTCACTCTTTGTTCCTCTTTCCCACTTCAAAGGGGCATTTTCTTCCCACGGGTCACTGGCAGTACTGCATGGATGAAGGCACACCTGCTACCAAGCTCCCTCCCTGCCCCCAGCAAAACTGCACCTAGTCCTAGGACTTTCCATGGCGGCAGGTGGCCCAGAGCCACATTCTCTGCTTGCATTTTCCTGGCCTCAAGGCCACAGACTGGCACCACAGCAAACCAACATGAGCCCTGGGCTGGTGCTCCAGTAAAGCCAGCGGTGCAGGGAATTGCCTTGCTCCAAGGGGCACCAGGGAGAGAGGTGAGGAAGGCAGGCAGACAGGGTAACACCATGGCCACCACCAGATGTTCCTGACCCTGTAAGACTTTTCTTACCAAGTTTCCTGCCGCAGGCCATGGCTGCCCCCAGCAGCCACCCCACTGAGAAAGGCCAAGAAGCAACGAGTCACATTTGCCGGTGTAACAACAACCTTGCAGCCTTGCTCCGTGCCGGACGGTCAAGCTGACATTTTCCACAAGAAGTGGGAACACGCCTGGGGAGGGGAAACAGCAGTGCTGAGAGCCACTGTGGTCTCCTCATTCGAGCTGCCACTTCAGACGGCGAGAGCGGAGGAGTTAGACACGTGAGACACTTTCACTATGAGCACGCTGCCCTTTGCAGCGATCTACTAGAGCAGAAACGTGACCTACTTAAGCATACAGAGGTCAAGTGGGAAGCAGACAGCCAGGCACACCTAGGCTCTCTGCTCTGATTGAATCCTTAGAGAACAAGCAAGTGCCTTGGCTGCGCTCCGAGACTGCATCATTACTGGATAGTTTGCATTTCCTTCGAGGAAGTCAGCCTGGAAGATCGGCATACGGTGTGCAGCCCCGTGGCTGCTGGCTCCTGCAAGGAGCAAAGATCTAAAGCCTGATACGAGCACCACACCCCAGGCACTGGTGCGTTCTCAAATGCAGGCAATTGCCTGTAATTTTCTTTACTGTTCTGCCTCTGCAGAGGGAGAAAGAGCGCCTCTGATCGGAGAGGGGAGCATTTATTTTATAAAACGAGCAATGCCATTGCACAGACCGCGTGAGGGCTCTTCCCGGAGCCAGAGAAGCTGTGACACATGTGATTATAAAGAGCAGCCTTTTCGGTGAGCAGAGGCAGGTGTAGGAGATTCAAGGCCCACCCGAAACTAAAAAGACCTCCAGAGGAAATAAAAAAAGAAAGGGTTTCTGGAGAGGCTGTTCTTGCTCTGGGGTGTCATTCTGCTCACGCACTGGGGTACTGTTGGGTGGCCAAGGTTACCCTCCCACAAGCTACTTTGGCTTCAACACAGAGGTGAACGAAGGTGCAACCCCAAGGGCCTGAACTAGTCAAGACCAAGAAACGCGTGTGTAAGCACATAAAGCTCTATTTAAAGCATATCTAAAAGAAGGTCAAATCCCTGGATCAGAGACTCTCTATGAATGTGTGAATTGCAGCTGGGAAGGGCAAGAAAAACTTGGATCCCTTTCAACTCGAGCCCCAGATGGGCTGCCGGATTGCTCTTATATATGCAGCCCCACATAGACGTGGGCTGCAGCCCTTCCCGGGTTCCTTGCCTCGGGTTCATTGCTTGAGTAGCTCTCTGCAGTGCAGTTGCACTGTGGCTGTGCTTCACTGGCAGGGTGGAGAGGGCAAAGCTTGCAATGGTGTTGAGGATTGTGAGCCAAAGCCCTGGACAACAGCCCTCTCCGAACTTGAAGGTGGTTGTTCTTGAGCTTTCCTTTTCACAGGGTGAGAAATTTATTAATTTGACATCTGAATGTTGATCTTTACATCGTTCACCAGGATGAGGCCAGGCTAAATTTCTTCTCAAAGAGGAGTTCAACTTGCTTGTGGGTCGGGCTAGGTAGCCAATCGGGTAGGTGCCGTCTCTGGTGGAATAAGGCAGCGTTTCTCTGTTAGTTCAAACTCATGCATCAGAGGGCATGAATTTGTGCAAGTCTCAGGAGAGAGAGAATTTTTGCTTTGTTTTTTAAAACCACTTGTAAAAACAAGAGTCAGATATTGAATCAGAGCCAACATCTGTATCTTTGTAAGACTCACAATCACTAGTCTTTTGCTGACTCTATAGCAATAAATATTCAGGGCCTTAAAAGCTTTTCCTCAATCTGTTTAGGAGAAAGCAGCCTCACAAAAATGGTATAAAAGACATCTTGCCCAGTCTGAGCTCCAGTGGATCAGTTCAGGCAGGGAGCAGAGCTCACCAGTATCTTGCAGATCTAGTACCACAGCTCTTCATTCGTAAGAAAATGAGGAAACACCCCAAAATAGAAATCTCAGAGCACAACCACATGCATAGCAGATGTGGCCCAGTGGAGGAGACAAAAGCCTCCCCCAAGGTGGAAGCAAGAACGATCGGCTGGAGCGAGGGGAGGGGAAAATGCCTGAGATCTGAGCTGCCATCACCCGCACGATGAGGTAGGCTATCAGCCTCACCTCCACATGTGGATTCAACCAGTCCAGATCCTATTTTAGGCTGCATATGGGGCTTTTCATCTTCAGAGCACTTAACAGGCATGTGTTAATCCCCGCAACGCCCTTCTGTGGCAGATAAGTGTTTATTATCTCCACTTTACAGCTGGAGGGCCAGGCACGGTACTGTGCGGTTCACTGCTGGGGGTCGAGGGCAACCTTGGCTCTTCAGGAAGGGGTCGCTGCAGCTACTCAACTCCTCTGAAAGACACAGCCCGAGCGCCTGGCTCCCGCTGCTGAGGGGAGCCCCAGGGAGGCTCCTCAGGTAGGGTGACCACTTCCTGGGCCGGCAGACACCTAGAGCAGGGCTGGGATCAGCACTGTCCCCCACATGGCACCTTCCACGCGAGGAAGTCCAAAGCCCCTTCCAAACACAAAGCCCCATGGCACATCACCGCTGCCTTTGTGCGCTAGGTCAGGACAGCAGTGCTCATTTATTACGGGGAAATTAACACCTGTGGAGATTAAAGTTTTATCTCCTGCCAGCTTAGCTGCATCTGACTTAGCAACGTGCGGAGCTGGGCTGGCATCGTGTCACCATACACTGGAGGAGCCACAGCCCCACTGCGCCTCCCACTCCCCAGCATCCCAGCACTGAGCCCCCAGAAGAGCCCCTGTTTTGGGGAGTAAAACTACTTCCTTCCTCTGCCCTTGGCTTTTCCGTGCTATTCTGAACTACTCCCTGTGCACCACGAGCCTGCCTGCTCTGTCTTTTCTTGTCTGTTGAAGCCAGCGGTTGATGGGTAAACACACGAGGAAGAACAGAGGGTAGGATGGGGATGCACAGCCTACACCAGTGCGGTACCAATGCCCATGCTTTAACTTCAGTTTGACTTTGTCACCTCTTTATATGAACCAACAGACAAACATGGCAAAACAAAGGCCACAACCACCCCTGTGAAACCGCCACCCCCAGCCCCAAACAGGGAGCGTATTAGTGCTGAGCCACCAAGCAAAGAACAAAAAATTACCATGCACTTGGTTGATTTCCGAGTTGGACGACAGGATCTCATCAGCCAACTTCTGGGCAGTGGGCAGCACCTCAGTGTGGTGTGCCGTGATCAAATACTGAACAAACTTCTGGAGCTGGTCCCTGTTCATCTGGAAAAGGGTCTCTGAGATGGGAAGACGGAGTTTGACCTGGTCCGGCTTGCGGATCCTGTACAGCGAGAGCGCCACGACATGGGCGCAGTAAAAAATGTCCTTGTTCCCGCAGCCACATGTCACCGATGTGATTTTGCAGCGGTCAAAGCTGATGGCCACCTTGTAGGTCATCTCTGGCTCTGTCGCAGTCGCGGGCTCCGTGACCGTCCCGCTGAGGTGGAACCCTGAAGAAGGAAAACAAGAGCAAGCAGACACCATGTTAGCTTGGCACTGACCACCAACACCCATGCAAGCTCAGGGAGGTGGACAAGGCCACCAAAGGCCACCTAGGCATTACTGCTTGAAGGAGCGTATCACCAAAGGACAATATCCCTATGCTGCCTGCCCCTCTCCTGGGAAAGACAGATCGCTACCCGCTCAGTCCCCTCCATTCTCACTTACTGCTGACAAGTCACTACACCTTGCATTTGCTGACTTCAGCATAAATAACCCAGGCAGGCACCTTACCAACTCCACTGCTGGAGGAGCGCGCGTGCGTCTGTGCAACGGACTGGGGAGTGTAACGGTAACGCACACTGTCCCGACGGCTTACACTGTCACTCAGGACCCAGCCTGCGTCCAAAAGCACTTCTGCACCAACACAAATATGCAGCCCGTCTCCTCGGTGAATTTATTTAACAGCCAAACCCACAGGGGAAGAGCAAAGCCACTCGGTTCTCATGTGTTTAAGACTCTCTCAGTCTCCTTCTCTCCTGGGAGCGATCTATGCCTCCATCTCGCTGAGCTTGCACCGCAACTCGCATGAGCAAGGGGTGGCAGAAAAAGGCCAGGCTTTCTGTTCTTTGATGAGGCAGATAAAAATAAAAAATAAATACAGCGCAACTCCAGCTTTAGTCCCTCAACCAGGTAGACAGCTCCAGGGCACGACCACAGATCCGAGCTCTGCCACAGAGCGGGAACAAAGAGCCGCGACAGAAACAATGCCCGGCCCTGGACCTCGGGCTAAGAGGAAACAGTTGGTTTTTAGAGCTCTGCAATATCTGCTGCTCCCCTGTGCACTCGTGGCCAGCGCTCGAGCCGTCCCAGAAACACAGCGGCTCCTCAGGGCCAGGGAGAGGGACCTGTGCGCTGGGCTGCATGGACAGCTCAAATTGCTCCTGCAAAGGTTAACGTCCCTCAGCCCAGGCTGCCTCCAGCCCCGGCCGCGCCGGGAGGGGCTGAAACGCCTGCTCTCACCTTCTAAACCCCGGGGGGGGGGGGGGAAAAGTCCTAACAGTTTTCAAAAGCAGGTGATGAGTGAAAAATAGGCTAAGATGGAAGGGAAGGTCCTTTGGGTCCAAAGAAGGTGGATAACACCGAACGAATGTGGGATAAAGTCAGAGAGAAAAGACTGGATGCTCATCAGCCTCATTTTGAAACTAAAGCCAGGTCAGGCACCCTGCCTCCTCCCTGGGAGCCCTCCCTACGAGCAAACGGCCGAGGAAGCCCAACGCCAACCTCTGCACGCCCTCCCTGGAAAAGGGACATCCCCCTTTGCCTCGACATCCCCCTTCCCCCAGTCTCGCACCGCATCCACGGGCCTTCTCCTCCCCTCTCCCCTTCCCCCGAGGAGGACACGGCAGCACCACCGCTCGCCCGAGGTCACCCGGTCGGTCGGCGTCGGAGCCCGGCCCGGCGCCCGACGCCCAGGGCTGCCCACCTCGGCAGCAGCCCGGCCTGCCTCCCCAAAGAGGATGCTCGCTTTTCTCCGTGTCACTCCTTAAGCCTCTGTTTGACACTCATTAAGCCTCTGTTTGAACAGAGGTCTCTGCGGAGCCTGCCATCCCCCCGAGGAGGCGGCAGGCAGCTGAGAGGCCTACAATTAACGACGGAAGAGGAGAGGGGGTGGGGGGGGAAAGATTAAAATACATTAACTGCATCAAACCCTTGTGCCTTTGCCAGCTCTCACAAAGGCTTCCCGAGACAAATTCTACCAGAGGTTTTTAATAAATGGCATCAAAACCCAGCTAGTCACTGCCAGTCTGGGTCCCCCCGCCGCGCGAAGCCGTCCCCCGGCAGCCGCACTATATAAATCTCCGGGATAAACTCCGAAGTGTTTATGTTTTACCACTTCTCTGGTCTGCAATGCTTGGCAGGCTGCTCCGACTCACTGCCAGTTTCTCCCTAGTTTACTTTTACAAGTTAAAAGGATTGGAAACGATGGTCTTGAGCAAAAATATATGTATACACACATATACACACACATATGCACACACACACATACATAAAAAACCCTCAAAGACAAATGACTAGCTATAAACACTGCCTGAAAATGCTTACTTTACTAGGACCACGGGCCAGACCCCAACCGGGGGTAGCCAGCATAAGCTGGAGGAGCTCTGCTCATTTAACCAAACAACCTGTTTCGCACAGGTGTATGTCCGAAAATATATAAACTGTGGTCTGAATCCAGCCCCCTGACAGAGGAAATTTGCCCGGACATTTTCCCACACTGCTCTCGGCCACGTCACTGCCCCGAGCGGGTGCCTGCAGGGCCACCAAGCTGCTGCTCGTGCTGGGCAAGGGACAGCCCTGGGGCAAACACCAGCAAAACCCGCTGGGTGCCTCCACTCCCCGGCTCCGCTCCGGATAAGCAGTGCCGAAGCGCATGACGCCAATGGGAAGGCAGCTCGGGGTGCTAACGCCTCTCCCAGCCCTCCTCCCACTTTGCCGCCCGGACGAAGCTCTTCCCCTGCGGCGGAGGCGCCGGCTGACATCAGAAATCCTAAAAGCCATGATCCCCCACCTGCTCTCAAAGCCAGCAAGAGGGTCCTCGCAATTCCTAGCCTGGATTTTCATGCTGAACAGGACCATTTAGCGTATCCGCGGCTGCCAAGTTAATCTGCCATTCGAGCCTGAAGTCAAGTGTCAGTTTAGAGTCTAGCTGTCACAGCAGCAGGCCTATTTAAGATAAACTAGAAACTCTATACAAAGCATTTATCAAAAGCTTAGTCGGAAATTAAACATACGGAGAGGGGAGCTGGCCAGAGCAACAGCGCTATTTGGGAATATTTACATTAACGCGAGGTAAGCGCGCAGCTCCCCACGCTCAGCCCTGCTCGGCGACCGACCGACCAGGTCTGCACTCTGACGCCAACCCCAGGCACCCATCGGTGGGAGAAGGATTCGCCAGGCCAGCCTCATAAACCTGGCTTTTACCTACTGATGGGGCAGGACCATTCCTTTAAATGGTCCTTTCATCTTGGGGCTCCAAAATCCTTTCCCTGCCTCTCAAGGGACATGATGGGATGGGTATCACCAGATTAGCAGAGGTGGTTAAAAGGTAGGTTATGGTGTGGTTACTCCATCGTCCAGTTAAGCAGTCGCTCCTGGTCACAAAACACTGTTTCTACCCTGCTGCAGTGCATCAAATTGCTCCAAGCACGGATAACCCTGGAAAGGACAGCAGTCCCCTACACTCCTCGGTGTTCATCCCACATCCCACGCATGCGGGGCAGGCGATACAATAATACGGGCACTCCAGCAGCGAGAAACACAGCCCTGGCTGGAGATGCAGGGTCCAGATAGTGCTGAGAGCAAAAACAAATATTTTTCTCTGTGTCCCCCCTGCACGATTCAATTTAAGAAGTTCCTACAGCTGAGTGCTTATCTAGGACTTCATCTTTTGTTCCTAGCATACATTTAATACAAACGAATTTGGTGTTTGATTTGCTGCCAGCAAAGTGACAGTGCCAAGGCTTGAAGATCATGAAAAAGAAATAATTAAATCTCATCTCTGAAACTACAGATTCATTACACTTCATCTGAGCCTAGCTCTGTCCCGGCTGAGCTGAATGCAGCTTCATTCACTGCAGCTTGATTTCTCCCTGCCCCAATCAGCCTCCTCCCGCTTTGAACATGGATGGATACCTTATGGCTACTTCCCAGTGAATGCAGCGTCAGTCCAGGTTGCAAAAAGAGCCTGAGCTCATACCTGCCCCAGTAGGTTGCTGTGGAAGCATCAAAAGGTCACCCGTGTTTGAACAAAGCCAGCATAAAAAATGCACTGAACATGGCCACAAATATTCATTACCGCACAGTGCAGGATTACCGCATCTCCCCCCTAATTCCACTTGCCCATCTAACGGGGACAAAACGCACATTTTCCCTGCCATGGCAGGTCTGCCTCCAGACAAGAGAAACTCTGCTGTTGCCAGCAGTATGGTGATCTGCCTCTGTCCAGGACCAGCTATGGTCCCAAGATCTCAGAGGCAACCTACGCACTTCACAAATGAACGGCACGGACAACGCCGTCTGGCTTCTCCTCCACCAGTAGGGCAGCAGCTATGCCGATCAGTGGCAATGATGAACAAGGCAGGCTGCACTGGGGAGGAGATTTTCCATCCTAGGTCTCACAGAAGAGCTGGGAAGAGAATGGCCGGGGTGCTTAGAAGATTGCACAGTCCTCCAAAGTCCAGAGTTTACTCCTAGACCCAAATGCAAACAGTTCGCCACCAACCTCAGCACTGGCGGCTCCCAATTCTGAGTTCTTGCAGTCTCAGCTCTGACATTGTGTTAGTGCTACAGGATATCATTTTGCCTCTGATTTAAAATAAAACAGACCCTAGAAACGTCTTCTGGGAGCTCATGAACTCCACACCAGTGGCACTTCTAAACTCATTAGCTGGGCAACATTTTCCTTACAGTCACTGCAGGCGGGGAGGAATGCATATCCACAAACCACCCCTGGGCTCTGACACAGCAGCAAAGAATCAAGACTTCGGCAGGAGCTCCAACACAGAAGACTTCCCTGCTAAGGCAGGGCTGTTAAGGCCTCCACAAAAGCATCTTTAACTGAGATGGAAACTTCTTTGATCTCTAAATCTACTCAACCAAAAGGAGCTTTGCAAACTCTTCTAGTTCCTTAAGAGTAGCCAAGCGTTCAGCTAAGCATTTTTAACCCAGATGTCCATGAGCCAACTATCAGACTTTCCTGCAGCTCCAGTTCACCAGCCAGGCTGGCTGCGGGATCCCTGCCTGCAGCTGTCCAACCTGCCTGAGCCTTGGGGATGACTCAGCTGCTCCTGCCGCCACTGCCGGATCAGGCGTTCGCAACCTGGCATCTTAAGAAAAAACAAAAGTTCACATTTGACACTGAAAACTGCACTAGTTCAGCCAGGGCTCTGCAAGCAGCTGATCTCTCCTAGAAACTAAGATAACCTCTGACAGGAGGATGGAGAAGACG